CAACTTTGTTTTTCAGAATGATCAACATAACCACTCCTAACCACCGTCTTTATTTAGATATTTAAAGAAGCCCATCACTCATCAGTTGGCTGTCTGTGCCATTGCCCTTAAAAAATAGCCTCATTCAGTCAACTCTGAGTGATGACCTACTCATCATGGATGATTATTTCTGTAGAAGTTGAACCAGGGCAGTGAATCCAGCCAGGCTCCAGCTTGCATAATGAGGAGCATCTGGGAAACATGTTCACAAATGTTCTGATTACAGTCAGTTTCAGAATTCTTTATTTATTATAATCCAGCTAAGCCTGATGGTTTAGAAAAAATGGATAACAGGACACATTGTGCTAGTCATTTTTTGTGGTTAGATTTGTGAGTGCACTGAATCACAAGGCTTAAATGAGTTAAGATAATCCTATTCTTTGCTTGAAATCACAGGCAACTTCACGTCTGATTGACTAAATATTGTCGGATTGTTTCTCTTACCTTCCATACTGGTGACTTAGAGACACATGTTTCTTTTGCATTCTCATCCATCAGCGCATGGATCTGTGAGCACATCAACAACATTACTAATCATGCAGCCTTGCGTACATAATAATGTCCCGACAAATTATTCTCATCATGTTAAAGCTATATTCTATGATTACAGTGAGAAACAGATCATAAAGTGTTATGGCGACAGTAAAATGATAAGAAACCATAACTATCCCTCCATGGCAAGAAATGCTTGCTTTTATGCAACCACAATTAATCATTTCAGAGAACCTCCATTATAAAGCATTGTTCTGCTCCATAAATAATAGCATAGTTTTGCTACTTGCTGAGAACCAGCAATCTGGGTCAGGATTTAGGACAGTGATATATCTACTTTGGCTTCAGGTTATGGTGTCAGCCCCCCTACCTGCGTGTCATGCACTCCTTTATCACTGAAGGTGAGCTTATAGATGACCCCTTGACCCCCCACATACAGGACATCAGTTTTCTGTTGGTGGTAAACCGTTGTGTAGTTCTCGGGCTTCATGAAGCGAAACCGAGGTGACTCTATAGACAAATTGACAGAAATGCAGTGTATAAACAATGTTTCTGGCAGTCTTTATATGTATATATTCACATATTCCATGAATAAATGAGTGTTTACTAAAATAGTGGTTCTCAACTGGTGAGTTGCAATTCAAAAATGTGTCACAGGGAAAACTATGCAAATAATAAAATGCAACTAGCCATAAAAATATGTATAGTTAGGATAACAAAATAATAGGCTTTTTATATGAGCTAATTTAAATGCATTAAATGCTTCCAGTGCTTTTATTGTTGAGATAAAAGGCTGTGCATCCAAACTCTGCTAATATTAACTAAATATTTGAACCAGTGTTGCATCAAAGGAATAGTTCGCCCAAATAATTACAATTTGCTAAAAAATCAACTCACCCTCAGGCAATTAAAGATGTAGATAAGTTTTTTTTGTTCATTGAAACAGATTTGGAGAAATTTAGCATTACATCACTTGCTCACCTCTGGGTGACATCAAAATAGGAGTCCAAACAGCTGAATAATCCACAAGTAATCCAGTCCATCAGTTATTGAAGTGAGTCAATTGTGAATTGAAAAGCTGCATGTTTGTAAAAAAACTAAGCCATCATTAAGTCACTTCTTGCCAAAATACCAGTCCATAATTCATAATAATGTTGAAAAGTGCATCCCCTGTTGTCCTCTCAAATTAAAATCCACCAGCATATTTCTTTAGAATTGTTTTGTACTGTTTTCAATTGATCTGTGCATATTTCAGCCTGATTCAGATGAGACTATGTTCTTTCACTGGAGAAAGCAACATTATGGATAGAGGACTCATATTTTAGCCGAAAGCAATGGCTTGAAGTTTGAAATTTCTTAATGATGGATTAAAATATGTAGCTTTTTACTTCACAGAATGTTAATTGATGGGCTGGAGTTGTGTGGATTACTTGTGGATTATTGTGATGCTTATCCACTATTTGGACTCTTATTCTGACGGCACCCATTCACTGCAGAGGATCCATTGGTGAGCAAGTGATGTAATGCTAAATTTACGGTGGCCGAGAAGTGCAAAGCAAGCAAATCACAATTCTGAAGAAAAAAAAAAAATTACAAACGCAAATGCAAGTCTAAAAAACAAAATAAAAATTCAGAAAGCACAACAACAATTCAGAAAACATTATAACAAGTCAGAAGACACAATGACAAATTCGAAAACAAAATAACAAGTCAGAAAACACAAGGACAAATCAGATAAACCGGAAAAGGTAGGTATAGTTTGAGACAGCGCCATTGGTTTGGGATTACTCACCGCTGACTGTATGAGACATCTGTCAATCAAAAAACACGGAGTGTCTATTTACATTTAGTTAAAAGTGGCCATAAAACATTAGCTCCAGTGGCACAGATGGATAAGCGCTAGTTGTTGGCTTTTTGACGCGATCGACCCGGGTTCGATCCCACCTTTTGCCTAACTTTTTTTTTCTCCCTTTTCAAATCTCGTATCACATCGTAAAGGCATTTATTTTCAATAAAAAATTAAGGAAATAATCAAAAAGTTGAAAATAAAGTATCGGTTAGGGTAGGTGTAGGGAGGGCTTTATTGTACCAATAAGGTGGTATCCATTTAATAATTAAAATTATAATTTACACTCAATACGTTATTATTGCATATTGTTTTATAATGTACTACAATACTGAAGTGCAGTTTTAGAGCAAAACCCGTTGAGATCTGATTGATCTAAAAGTTTAACTCAAATGTCTAAGCCACTTTCGTAGGTGTTTGTCATCTGACCTAAATGGAGAAAACTATCAAAGGTGGTTGTCAGGGGTAGCAGCTATGTAAAACTATAAATTATTGATACTACATTGTATAAAGCGGAGATTTGCGATTATTTCATAAAACTAACACGTTGCAACAGGTGTTTGTCTCGGTTTGCGCTGCTAGAGATGTAATCTTAATAACTGGCTATTCGAAGCGGGGTCTGGCGAGGTCGAAAAAGCCTGCAAACCAGTCTGATCCGGTTTTTATTTGCATACGAAGGTGTCGTTTTCCATAACACAGAACTTTAGTTTATGGGATTATTTGTCTCGCCATCGCATCCTTCGTGATTTCAGGGAAGACGTGCACTGAATTGAGGATTTGGGCAAGCGTCGTTGTCCATGGTGCTGAAGTGGGCGGTCAAGACCTCATTGGAGACACATATTGGTATTTTTCATTGCTTCCTCATATCTGTAATTGTGAGACGTTGTAGTATCACGTAACACTGATGGCGATGACCGTGAGACATGTCGATGTTTTCAAATAAACACTTGTGAATCGCATGTCCCATATTGGTTGTATCGACATAGACGACTGTGAACGTGCTTGCAATAAATAATAGCGGTAGGGTTCGTGGAATTTTCCATGGGCTATTCTCTTCTGCGAGTGTGTTTTTTCTTGGATCCCATGTTGTGTCCTGAGTCTTGGAAATGCATCAGTTGCTGCAGTGCCATCATTCCCGTTAGCTCGCGCACCTGCATTGCAGCTCTGTAGATTGCGTCCTGTGATTTTCTTAAAACAAACCCACTTGCAGCGTATTCTACACGAAAACTGCGTTCAAAATTAGCAACGTCATTCAATGCATTTACAAGTTTAGTGAGAAAGCGAATGGTCGTTTCAGAAAATTACTTATTCTGTAGCCTCCAGGAAGATTCAGGAGCTTGTTTACTCGCACATCCCAAGCATACTACTAGCTCTAGTCTTGACCAACACCACTAACATGTCTTAAAGATATGTTACTATGGATACACAGTCAAAAATCCGTCCAGCATCCTTGTATGAACCTTCGGCTCTTAGATATGTTAGAAATGTTTAGGATATGTTTAGTTGAGATATTTTGTCTCCATCACTATCTGCTTAATTTGTATACAGTGTCAGTACTTAACGCGTTGCGTTTACTGTATTTTTCATTGTAGTCTAATATATAGGCTTATGTAGGCTACTCTTAACCATAATTAATATCACATATAGCCTACGTGATAAAGTGAAGTCATGATGTGCATATAAGCCTCAATCGGTTTTTGTTTTCAAAACAGCAATGTAAAGCAATCAGTGCCCATCTTGGCCTGCTTCCATTCACTAACATTGTGATTTGACTTTTTCTGTTTTTTACATCCTAATGAAATATGAAGTCTTATTACGCAGCAATTTTTGTTTTCCCCAGGGGGAAAGAAGATTAGCAATTTCTGCTTTAGTAAGGATAACCATCAGATACTGAGATCGAAAAATGCATGCAGAATCCGTGCAGACTGAAACTATTACACTGAAGAAGCATAAAGTCTTACCCATCACGGTGAATTTCAGCCGAGGTGATTTTTCGGCCAAAACCACTGAGAAAAGAGTCGCCAGTATGAGCAGATTCATGTTGTTCCGCGATGAAAGTCTCTCTTCAGATAAAGACTGGTGTTGTTTTGCAGGAGTGCGTGTGTGAAAAGCGGGCGCCGTCTGTCCCTCACCAGACCGCTCTGAGAATCTGAAGCGGGGTTAAGTTAGTTTTGTTTTCTATATTCGTGACACATTCAGAGATAAATGGCAATAACTCCAAAACGACTTGCCCTAAAAAAAATCGAAACAATGTGACCGCCAAAAGGGCAAAGCTGATTATGTTTCACAGCCTTCTTTTTCATAATTTTCGCTCGATGTAATAAGCACTGCCCCGCACAAGCCGTCGCAATGTAAATTAATAATGCATTAATAAGCCCTCGCTCTTCGCGCAGCTTTCGGTAAGGGACCGTGGGGAAAGTGCGATTTTTCTTCGTTTTTTGCTATGCCTCAGTGGGCGGTGTTTTTGTAATTGCTTTTTAGTTAAAGGGCCAGTAGACATGAGACCAGTGTCAATCAAAAGAGGGGGACAGTGGACATTTTTCACAACCTTCCATTTTACCCCTACTGGTAGAAAGGGTAATTGCATGTCCAAAATTAATCTTGTTTTTGTAATAACTTTAGTCAGCAGGAAGATAGAGACATGAAACCAGTGTCAATCAATAGAAGGGGACAATGGACATCTTTCACAACCTTCAATTTTACCCCTACTGGTAGAAAGGGCAATTGCATGTCCAAAATTAACCTTCTTTTTGTAATAACTTTTTACGTCAGGGAGACAAAGACATAAAACCAGTGTCAATCAATAGAGGGGGACAGTGGACATCTTTTACAACCTTCCATTTTACCCCTACTGGTATAAAAGGGAATTGCATGTCCAAAATTAACCTTCTTTTTATAATAACTTTTTACATCAGGGAGACAGAGGCATGAGACCAGTGTCAATCAATAGAGGGGGACAGTGGACATTTTTCACAACCTTCCATTTTGGTACAAAAGGGAATTGCATGTTCAAAATTAACCTTCTTTTTGTAATAACTTTTTACATCAGGGAGACAAAGATATGAAACCAGTGTCAATCAATAGAGAGCGACAGTGGACATCTTTCACAACCTTCCATTTTACCCCAAGAGGGTGATTAGGGAATTGCATGTCCAAAATTAACCTTCTATTTGTAATAGTTTTTTGCAGCAGGGAGACAGAGACATGAAACCTGTGTCAATAAATACAGGGGGACAGTATACAATTTTTCACAACCTTCCATTTTGGTACAAAAGGGAATTACATGTCCAAAATTTTCTTTATTTTTGTAAGAACTTTCGTCAGCGGAAAGATAGCGACTTGAGACCAGTGTCAATCAATAAAGGGGAACAGTGGACTTTTTTCACAACCTTTTATTTTACCCTAGTGGCTGTTTAGGGAATTTCATGTCCAAAATTAACCTTCTTTTTGTAATAGAGTTTTCTATCAGGGAGATGGACATTAATCCAGTGTCAATCAATAGAGAAAAACAGTGGGCATCTTTTACAACCTGTCTTTTTACCCCTACTGGTGGCAAGTGGGATTGCATGTCCACAATGGAACATTTTTGGTAAGATCTTTTTTATTCAGGGAGACTGAGACTCGAAGTGTCTATCAATAGAGGGGGACAATTGACATGCAACAACCTCTCTTTTTCTTTTAAAATACCTAAATATCACATTTCGACTGTGTTACTTAATTATAGATTTGGAGTACTCGAAACTCAAATACAACTTTAGCAGACTTGGAGTTGTCATGCACTCGAAGGCATTTTCACTCAGACTTGAGCCTTTGGCTTTGGGACTCAAAAAATATTTACGTCACTGACCAGATGCTTTGTTACAAAAGTGACATTCAGATTTCACATGTGTTTTTAAGTCTTGACATTACTTGCTCGCAGAATTTTCCTCTCAGTGTGTGAATGCCAAATTAAGTTATTTTTTGTATGTTCTTACTACACACTCAAATACACAAAAAGTTATGTCAAAATGCACGTCTTGGAGAGTATCCATGTAAATACAGTCGGTTATGTCATAAGTGAACCTAAACAGTTAGGAGAAATACAGATGTGTCCAAATATTTGATCCGTGCATCAGGTCTTAAAGCGACAGCAGCGTAAATCCTGCTGCCGCTGACTGTGTTGATAATGTTAATCAAACCAAAAAAATAAGAAAATCTGTATTTAATACATACATAGACTGTAAAAAAAATTGTTTTAATCCTGCTGACAGATGTAGCTTTGCACAATACCAGCATCTAGAATGATTTTGATCAGCATTTGTTCATAGCAGAGAACTCTATAAACTTATATTTTACAGTTTGTCAGTTGATATAAGATTTTGTAGGCTTAGCATACACATGTGCACTCCTCAAAAGCCTGAAACCAGTGTTTAGCCCTGGAGTCCATGTCCACATTAAAGGTTAAAATAAGTTTAAGATGGCTAACAGTACTGCATAGTTGGACTCGGTTTTGAGTCCGCCTTGGATAATTTTGTACTCTGACACGAGTGGTTAAATACTCTGAATCGACTCCTACTTAACTTAGGTGGACTCGAACCCAACAATGCTTAATTAATAGCAATGACAGTTCAAATTTTAAATAAAATGTTGACACTTATGGTTGTACATTGTTTATATGGAAGTGTGAGCAAGAATCTAATATGTAAAAAAAAAATAATGATAAAGAAATATGCATCTTTACAACTATGGTTTTATGTCAGAATTTGTTTCTATACATGGTTCTGACCTTAAACAAATCCTCGCATATAACTTTGAAGAATGCAAAAATAATTAAACATGATTTGTTAGTTATGATTTACAAGACATATGATCAGTTGTTAATATAGTAAGTAATGTTTAACAGCTCATTAAAATGCAAATAAAATTATTTATGATTTTGTACATCTAAAATATATTTATCTTAATAGCTCTTTTCCTTTTTACAAATTGTACATGTTGAAAACTAAAAATTCTAAACAATTAAAAAAAAACAATATTGTCACTTGTTTTAAAATATGAATTATTACTAGATCATGCACTGCTAATTAAAAAATTACAAATTAATTCATTAACTAGTTTCACTATGGAATTTCTTGCATAATGAAGATATATTCTTATTCAGAACATTTGTGGTAATATAGAGTCTTAGAAGTGTTTTCTATTGCTTTTTAAAACTATCAATTGAAAGCCAATATATTTCTGATTGATTTAACTTCATCTACCTAGTCATGATCAAATGTTGTCAACACCGAGAGCTTTCTCTCAAATACACCAGATATGTACAATACCACTGGGATCCACTGAATAAAAATGAAAATACAGTTTTGAAATAAGGTGTTGCGTATAAGTAAATTTTAACACACACACGTTGGGTATTAAGGTATTATGGGGATATTCAATAGGCATATATTCCAAACTGTATATTCTGTCCCACTACATTACATTAACCTACCCATCACACACAACTTTCTGTGTTTTTACATTTTCAGAAAATATAAATCTGTATGATTTTTATGCTTGTTTCCTCATAGGGACAAAAAATTTCCCAACAAAGTCAAAATTGTAATACCTGTGGGGACATTTGGACCCCATAACTTAGGGAATACCAGTATAACACATTGCACACACACACAAAATGATTGTAATAATAATAATAATAATAATAATACAATAAATAAAAATCATGGGTTGACATGACTTGAGGGCACTTAAGGTAGTCCCTATTTTCAAAAACTGCCTCCCTCCAAATCATGTCCTGCTACACTTTAACCTTGTTGAATTACAGGATTTTTTTTCTTCTGGTAAACATGTAAGACCCTTACTGCTTGTAAGCAAATTTACCACAGAATATGGCAGCACAGCCCAGTACTCCACACTTCTTTAAAACCTTTTAATGCATTTCTTGTTAAACTGCTTTGAAATAATATGTATTGTGAAAAGAGCTATAAAAATAAATGTGAATTAATCCACACAGAGCTGGGAGTAGTAATGTTTCTATTTAGCACCTAAGCATCCCGAGGAACACTTTTATGCTGAAATGGTTCTTGGTGTTAGAATTTAGGGTTCCTTAATCCAGACCTTTGGTTTTACAAATCTGTAACTGTCAAAGCACCTCATTACTGATTTTCTGGAGCTCAGCAATCCACCTACACAGAGTCTCAACACAATCCCAACAGGTAAATGATTTCATTCTAAAATGTAAATACAGTTTTATCTTTAAAATTGTAAATGGTTTCCAAACAAACATGTTCTTT